CACACACACACACACACACACACACACACACACACAGAGCAATTAGACTCTGGCTCCAATCAGCTTGACTCTACAATTTCCAAGCACCGCCTAGAGCTTTTTCCCCTTTAGTGTCTCAACCACGGCCTAAATAAAGTACCTGACAGCGTGGTGTGCTCTAAAGCGTTTTTAACTGCAGTTTCCCTTTGGGAAGACCTGCATGACTCACTCCTAGTCCAGCGACTTGGCAGCAAGGTGAATGTCCCGAACACACACCTCCCAGCACAGTGCCGCTGTGTATGCTCTGTCCATGGATGGGCGTGAATATATTTTTGTGCCAATCAGTGGCACATTTCTATGTACAAATAATTCGTTTTTCCATTTTGAGCAAACAATTCTCCCGCAGACAGGGCGAAGGTTCCCTTGATGAGGATGATCTGAATTACAGAAGTGTCAAGGGCAAGCCCCCTCACAACTCCCCCATTGCGCTAGCACAGTACAAACAAATACAAAACACAGTCCCTTCCCTAAAGAATTCACAATCTAGAATTATGACATTAGAAGCTATTACCTTTTCCCCTTTTGTCCCCTTTTCTGACATGTTATCCAGCTTGGAGAGGGGGAGAAAAAGGCATGAAAACATTATTGAATGTTTCAGGAACGGATACACCAGAATGTAACAGCCATGGTTAAGAAGTAGAACCTGAAACTTACTAGATTAGTTAACGCACTTCAACAAGGATAAATATGGTACAGAATGTGGTATTCGCTATCTATCTATTTAGTAGTATTCTAAAACCATGGTTTAGAAAGAGATCATTTAAGTAATGTTGATTATATGTAGAAAACAAGGCTAGGAAAGTAACATACCAGAGTCCCACCTGCAGGCCCTGGGAGACCATCCGGCCCCTTAAAATACAAAATAAAGGTAGGTTTGACCTCATGGTTCCCATGTTCCAAAGGGATATTATCTCCACAACTAAAACATGACAGTAAGGAGTAATTTCTGAAAGCTGCCACGGCCCCTATTCCCGAGGACCAAAGCGTAGGTCCCCCGCATTGCTGGTCCCAAGCTGTTTATAATTCAGGCTATGAAAGAGTTCCTGCTAAACGGCCTGGTGCTGACAGAATCTAGGCGCCGTGGGCTATCCCTCCCCCTTCAGTGGTTTGAGCATTGGCCTGCTAAACCCAGGGTTGTGAGTTCAATCCTTGAGGGGGCCACTTAGGGATCTGGGGCAAAATCAGTACTTGGTCCTGCTAGTGAAGGCAGGGGGCTGGACTCGATGATCTTTCAAGGTCCCTTCCAGTTCTAGGAGCTAAATTAATTAATGGAGAAGTAAAGATCCACCATACAAGCCTGTGCTCCTGCAAAGGCCTAGGCAGTCGGTAACTTTATGCATGCAAATAGCCCCTTTGATCTCTATCGGACTTCTCAGCTGCATGAAGTTATGCAGGTGCAGAAATCTTGGCATGATCCAGGCCCGGATGTGGCCATGAGTTTAACAGCTCAGCTCAAAAGCGCTCGCTGTTTAAATCCAACCTTTTGGGGCCAAGCATATGAGAGATCTGACCCAATTGTCCGTCCACCTGCAAGCCCAACAAAAACACTCACCCGCAGACTCCTACACTTACCCTGGGACCTGGAGGGCCTCTCTCTCCTTTCAGGCCTGTTTCCCCTGGATCTCCCTGTAAGAGAGGGAGCAGCAGGAATGGGTTAGCTCTCTCTCTTTGGCACTGCGACATGACTGATAAAGCAATGCAGGTATCTGGGGAGAGCTTTCGTTTAATGCTTTGTCGTTAGCCAAATGGAACAAACTCTTCGGACTGTTACTTAAGACTCTTGTTCTCCCGGGGTCCCTCCAGAACCACCCTTTCCTAGCCCGCAAGGAAACAACCACTACTGCAAATGTTAGCATGAAACTGATGCTGTGGCAGGTCCACTCTCTTGATGGCCAAGTCGCCTCTCCCTGTCCCCTGCTGCACAGAGGGTGAAGATGCCAGAAAATGAGGACGAGTCACAATTTTTGCTAAACCCTGTGATTTCAAGTCCTATTTTTTCTCCACTCAGTTGGGAGACATTCCTTGGCAAAATGGCTGCTCTGGATAACACCTGACCCAACCTCTCTTCCCGCGTAGGTCAGATCGGATGCTGCATGTGGTGATGTGGGTGGTGCATGAAAGGGGCTGGATTCTTTGCGGTTTGTTTCTCTGAGTGGAGGAATGGTACAGAAGAATGGCGTGAAGCAAAGAACACATGGTGTTCCACGTCTCTCAGCCACTACTTTGGTATCTTCTGAAGGGTGCTGCTCTCTGAACTCTGCGCTCCCCTACTCTTAGGTACTGTATTCAATTTCCTTTTTTTTTAACCCAAACACCCCATACGGGTGGAATCCCTCCCTGCTGATCTTTATTACAGACCGTCCATGCACCTTGCATCCATCATCCTGTGATCAACTGTCTGAGTGCCCTGCACTAATCCTTGAAAGGTGCTACTCAAAACACACCTGGGTATGGCTCTTACCCTAGACAAAGATGCAAAGCAGTGAATTGCTTGCCAGCCCTGGCATAAACAAACAAGTGATTTTTCCCCCCTTTAATGAGAAGCCAGTTGCCTTCATCCAAATTCAGCAAAGTGCTCAAGCATGTGCTTAACTTTAAGCATGTAAATGATCCTATCCCCATTTGGCAAAGCACTTAGGGCAATGGGAGTTAGGACCGAATTACCCTTAAAAATCTGGCCCTTAAGCACATGCTTAAATCCAAGTACCTGCCCGAGTCCCATTGACTTCAATGAATGTTTTGCTGAATCAGGGCTTGAGTGTTTACTCCTGTCCGCCCTGCAGAACCCACACAGCTCTGGAAAGAGAGTTGGAGTCCATTCTGCCTCTTGCGTCCTCAACAACATTGTCAGCTACGTTCCATTTGCAGCACCTTTGTTACTGGTGAAGTGAACGGGAGAACTCAGTTTGCTTTGCAGAGTTCAGCGTTTCAGATCCCAAGTTGACTTGCAAAAGTCAACCTGAGTGGAGAAAACTTGATCTGGAAGTCAGGAAGTCATAGGGGAAGTCAAGACTGCAATCACAGCACCTGTGCTTGCTAAGGTCCCAGAGCAGTGATGGCGCAGCAGTGCAGGCTAGTCCTGCAAATAATTACCCAGGCTTCCAGGTGGGCTTGCACAGCTCACCCTGATGTGCATGCTGCTACAGCTTCCCTGCTCCACTAACTGAGCTAGCTACGGCCTTGGCTATACTCGTGGATTCACAGCGCTGTGAAGCGCAAGTGTAGTCGCGCCACCAGCGCTGCGAGACGGCTCTGATTACACTGGCGAGGGGAGTAGCTTTACAGCGCTGCACTCGCTGCGCTCGGGGGGGTGTTTTTTCACACCCCTGGGCGCAGCAAGTGCAGCGCTGTGAATTGCTAGTGTAGCCAAGGCCTACATTACAGCTACCTGGGGTGTGTCTACTCGAGCTGGGTGTGATTGCAGGGTAGATATGCCCTTTGTTACACAGCAGTGTAGGATTATGTGCTCCTCACATCTGGAAAAGTTTGAGATCAATTCTATCATCTCTATTTTAACTTAATCCTTTGCAGCTGTTTACAGCTTATTTAAAACGTTTTTGTTGTTGAAGGGTAAAACACTCCCATGCAAAACAACTACACAACCAGTCTTAGGGGACAGTCATCTCAGTGCACTGTTGCTTCTCCGGCAAGGGAGAGACTTTACCTTATCGCCTTTGTTGGTGATGCTGTTCTCCAGAGATGACACCTACACCAGATGGAGGAAAGACAGGTCACAAAGTGGTGTTGGTCCCAATTAGGAACAGATCTCCAATGACCAACATCATCTCTGCGAACCTTCCTTCTGGTTCTGATACACCCACTTGGCACAAGGATCAATTAACTCACTTTCTTTCCTCCTCTAAAAATTAGCCCTTAATCTGAGCTGCAATATTTGGATCCAAACCTTCTAGGTCTTTGGATCAGGGGCTAGAGAGCGTCTTCATCCAATGAGCTGTAGAGGTATGAGACAGCTGTGAAGTTTGGGTCTGCAGCTGCACTTGCACAAAGCTTAAAGTGTTTAGGTCTGACCCGTTCCAGAGATTGGGGCCAACAGCAAATCCAATATCCAGACTTCCTCAGAGCTCAGGGATGTTCAGATTTAGGATTTTGTTCGGGCCCCCTCTGCTGCTGACTCAACTTGTGCCCTTGTTTAGGCAGTTTAGTCGTTTGTACTCAATAAACAGTCACATGACTGCACAGTTTAGAACCCTTCCCCTTTGAATCGGAAGACGACGTACTTGGGTCACTGGGTGCGGTGGTCATTGTCCTAGCGCAGGGTGAGAGAGCCACAGGAGTTGAGCCTCCTGCCCTTCCAACAGGAGCTGGGAATGGCGAGCCTACTAGGCAGCGTAGACTGTACAGTGCTCTCCCCCTCCATCCCCAGTGGCGTTGCAATTTCAGAGGAGCAGGGGGAGGGATAGCTCAGTGGTTTGCACATTGGCCTGCTAAACCCAGGGTTGTGAGTTCAACCCTTGAGAGGTCTACTTAGGGATCTGGGGCAAAAATCACCACTTGGTCCTGCTAGTGAAAGCAGGGGGCTGGACTCAATGATCTTTTGAGGTCCCTTCCAGCTCTATGAGATAGGTATATCTCCATATATTATTATTACTTCACTAAGAGGTGCATGAGCAGTGAGCAAATGGGAGAACAGCAACCAAGGATGACAAGGCTGGGGCAACCAAAGGCCTGGTGAGATAGGCAAGAACCTCCATGGCATATCCCCACAGGTACTGATTTAGTTAAGCACATGATTAACTTTAAGTCATGATTAACCATTGAAGTCAAGCAAGTGCTTAAATCTCATTGACTTCAGTGGGATTAAAGGCTGTACTTGAAGTTAGCCATGTGCTTTCTGGATGAGTATGGCATTAAGCATGTACGCATATTCCTGAATCAGGTCCGGAGGACTGTTATACTCACACATGCACTGAATGAATTGCTGTGATGTATTCATAGAACATCAGGGTTGGAAGGGACCTCAGGAGGTCATCTAGTCCAACCCCCTGCTCAAAGCAGGACCAATCTGCAGACAGATTTTTGCCCCAGATCCCTAAGTGGCCCCCTCAAGGATTGAACTCACAATCCTGGGTTTAGCAGGCCAATGCTCAAACCACTATTCGCTGCAACACAGAGACTGCGGTCTCCACTATGGTAGGGTTACCATATTTTGTGCCTCCAAAAGGAGGACACTCCACGGGGCCCTGGCCCCGCCCCCAGCCCC